TTTTTTTTTTTTTTTCTAATTACGCGTACGTAAATAGAGATTTACATGAGTTTATATTGATCCAACGGGACAAGATTAAGTGCAAAACACCTACAAAATGATTATTTAAGTCTTGCAAGTGCACCAATAATGTAAGTGGAAGCAAACAAATCTTTGTTTTCTTTATACATGTATGAATGAGCTTTCCCATTGTAGAATATCCTAAAAAGCGTGCAAGCAAAAGTGCGCCTCTCGTTTTCATCATTGTAAAGGGGACGAATTTTGATTTGATAAGCTCTACTTTATAAAGGACCATAACAAAAAAGTCGTGTTTAAAGTGTCAAACTTTGGTGACCTCTTTGTATTGTAGCATTCAATGCTATCTATTCATAGTTTGTTAATATTTTCTCATCCATTGATAGGGACAATGACGATAAGCAGCTAACTGTTGGTTTCGTTACGGAGCCAATAATTAATGGAACAGAATGTGAGACAGCCCCATATAAAGCTGTTCCATTAGTTGTTGGTTCCGTAACGGAACCAACAGTTGGCTCTTTAACATTATTGTTGATAAGGATTTGCACAATTGTTATTATTGTACTTAATGATCATCATACTTACTAAATGACAAAAAGGCCACTTGTGATTTTTGCTTTTAATTAATATTTTAGAGGTGCTCTAGGCTTATTAGACAGAAAAGTTTGACACGATTCTATTTAAATTAACTGTTTAAATTTTATAATAATGTGTAAACCACCGCCTATTTTTTCATTCATATCAGTAGATTTTGTGATGGTTAAAAAGTCAATAAAAATAGTTACCATATGTCAATATTCGTGTATTACACGAGTGTTGACTTAAGAAATATATGACAAAAATTTTTGCTAAAATAAATTTTTTATTTAAAAATTTTGAGGACTAATTAATGAAAAAATAGAAGAAGAGACAGCGCAAAAAGTGATTCATAAGAAATTCATGAGAGAAAATTACAACTTGGTAAAAGAGTTACTTGCCAGAACTAAGAAGAAAACGTGTAGTAAGAGAAAAAAAAATAACACAATTAAATATACACTTGTCATGTTTGGAAAAAATTATTTATGTCTAATACCAAGTTTAACTGCAGAACAAAAATGAATGTATAAACAATGTTACGAAGCACATATTTTTGTCATGTCAGTATTCGAAGCATGAGAATCTTCCACTTAAGCTTAATTTGTTTTGATGTAATATATAGGGAGGGATATCCGTCTAATAGAATAAAATAATGCAAAATTTTCATTTGAAAAAATAATTAAAAAGAATACTAGGAATCATATAATATAAAATAGTATAAAATTTGATGAAAAAAATGATTAAACTATTATGAGATGGTCTCTAAATAATAGTTTATTCAAGAAATAGAGAATCATGATATTCTGGTCGAAAAGTAGATGTCCAAGAGTATGTACATAATTAATAATGCTCTAAAATTGATAGGTAAACTACCACGTAACACTCTTCCTGAATATAGCAATTAAATGTTTGATTTTGATATAAAACCTACTAGTTTGAAACCTGGACCGACCTAGCAGGTCGACTAGGTTGGGATCGGTTCCGGGTTGAGTTGGCTATTTGGGCTAGACAATAAACGGGCCGGTCAAACTCGGATTGAAACCGGCTAAAACCCAATCGATCTGACATTGAGTCGGTCGACCTGTGCATTGAAACACAATTATTTCTATTATTTTATTTTATTTTATTTTATTTATATATATTTATATGGCGAACATTTAAAATGAGATATAATAGTAAAAAATTTGAGATATGAATTTTACATGTGTTAATCTTATGGATATTTTACAGTTATTAACAAATAATGTATTGACACGTGTTAGATAATAAATATACTTTAGAAAAATGTCAGTGTATTAAGTTATGAATGACTTTATAAAATTTATGATAAAATAATAAAAAAATAATGATGATTAGGTTTACTAGTTGTTTATTTTTAATTTTAAAACACACATATGTATTATTATATTTAATTTTTATCTCATTTCTTATATTATATACACCATATATCCAAGCAATAATTCAAGAGACCATCAACATGCATGTCATCATCATGTGATAGACAAAGGACAACTGTGACCCAAACATTATGACGATCACTATAATCAAAAAAGTTGTTTTTCAAACAATTGTCTATCCTTTTATCTCACACCGCTAAAATTTGTGATATATATATGAATGAATTATTGTTTGAAAAAATTGCATTGCAATAGAACATATAATGCTTTTATTTTTTATATATATATTATTTTGTAAATTAAGTGTGCCACTTATTGAAACGTTTGTCTAATATATCTTACCGAAAAAAATATATTATCAAATATCACGATTTAGTGACACTACAAAAAAATACTTCAATTCCAACGAAAAATTTCAACGGCAAAAAATTCTGTTGGAAATTCCAATGAATATTCCAAAAAATTAATTTTATGTTGGAATAAGTGTTGGATGGTTGAGAAATTCCAATGGATTTTTTCCGTTGGAATAGCTGTAGGAATTTATTTCCATAGGATTTTCCGTTAGATTTTAGTTATTCCAACGACCATTTTTCCCACGAATTTTTATACGTAGGAATATCCGTTGGAATAGTTATTCCAACGAAAAATATAAAGAATTCAACGAAAAATTTCCGTTGGAATGTAAGAGTTTTTTTTGTTGTGTGATACAAATAAAGCTAAAAAAGTCCAACTACACATTTGAAAAATTCAACAAGTTGTCAACTGTATCAACTTAAATTATTAAATTTTCATTCACCTGAAATTAGTCTTGGAGAAAGTTTTTTAAATTACGGTACCATTTGCTCCAAATCACTCAGCATATGCTATTGAATGTTAATAAATAACTTATAAATTAGTATTAGGGTAAATAATAATTTGCAACTTGTACTATACACGAATTTGGGGTTTGCAACTTAAAAAATTTTTTGTACTAAATTGCAACCTTTAATACACTATATCGCAACCTCGGGCCATCAGCGGCCTATTTTCACCGGAAAGGCAAGCGTGCTACACCCACGTACCAAATTTGAGGGCAAAAATGTCATTTCATCTCTCTTTCTCCTTCCTCTTTCATTCTCTTTCTCTCACACATTCTTGCACATACAGTCAACTCAAAAGTCGAATTCCACGGCGAGATAATTGGATCCCAACGGCGAGATAATTCCAGAGGCGTGAAATTTGTGCTTTTCGATGTGATTAGAAACACAAACCCGCCGACGGAAAAAGAGAAAACACACGAAAAAGAGGCGGCGAAGCCAACCGTGAGGCCGAGGAATCGGACCAAGCTGACGTAAAATGATATTCCAACGGTGGAGGATGACGGTAATAACGAAGGCAGCGGGAGAAAGGTGCAATTCTTCTGCTTCGTCGGGGCGAAGGAGGCGGCGTCCAAGAAAGGGCCGTCGTAGAGAGTGATGTTGTTGGAAGGAAAAATAGGGGTTGTGAGGAAGAAGACGTATAGAGCAACGAAGAGAAATTTCAAACAAATTTTTTGAAATTCGGATTGCTCTTTTTCAGATCTGAGGCAATTTCGACAAGTCCGTCCAAATTGAAATCGAATTTGACTACCTGAGACTCTATTGACGACAAAGTAAGGCTCCTTTTCTCAGATGATGTGGCGGATGGCGATTCCCCTGAAGTCGAAT